TTTCTTTCTTTCTTTCTTTCTTTCTTTCTTTCTTTCTTTCTTTCTATTCAGAGCTTTGTAGGCAGTTGTTATATGCTGCTCAGTTGATCAATTTAAGTCTCATGTTTTTAAGCTTTCAGTAGTCTTTTCTAGGGATAGTTTAATCCCTCTACTAGTGCATCACCTTTTTAGGGTTTTCACTAAATGCCCTGAGTGATCAGTGAGGTATCTACATTCTGGTTCATCAGATGCCTTCTAGCCCTTTGTGAGCTCTGGGAACTGTGCAGTTTACAGCTTCTATAACTCAATCTTCTTTGGAACTCTGCCTCACAATTTCCAGCTGTCACAGTCTCCTTGAACTCTCCATTCTGTATCCTCAACTAGTAAGATTGCTATGTAACGCTCTCCCTGCTCAGTGGTATTAATTTGAAAGTGATTTACAAGTCTTAGAAGGTTAATACAAAGTCTGATCATTAATGACTTAGGTACAGAGGTTAGAAAGAAAAGTAGAAAAGAGAAATCATCCAGTAGAGAGAATCAACAAAGGCAAAACTTGGATCTTTCAAAAGACTAGAAATAGTCAAGCCTCTGATGAGATTTCTCAAGAACAAAAGAGGACACAAATAATATTAGGAATGAAAAAAATGTATAACTACAGGTGACTAAAGAGATTAAAAAAACTTTATGCTAGCTAACATACTCAAAAAGACAAATTACTAGAATAATATAACTTGCTAAAACTGACTCACTAGAATGTCTTACCAGCCTTATAATCATTAAATATATTGAATTAGCACTAAAGAGTATTCCTACAAATAGAACACCAGGTCTAAATGGCTTTTCAGATGAGTTCTACCAAATTTTTAATAAATAAGGTATTTTACTCTTACACATACTTCCAGAAAACAGGAAAAAAAGGGACACTTTTGATAACACCACCAAAGAAGGATAATATGAGAAGGTCCTATTTATTTTCCTATATCACTTATGAACAAGGATACAAAAATTCTAAATAATATTAAAAGTCAAAAAGAACCAACCCACTTTTCAAGATTATGGCATGAGGACCAGCTCTACCAGATGAAGAGATTTGTTAAAGTTCTATTAATCAAGATAGTGTGATATTGGAGCAGGAAAGAAATTGACCAGTGGAAGAGAGTGTAAAACTAGGCTTAGTCATAGAGAGATATTTGCTTGGTGACAGGAGTGACTTAGTGGGAAAGGAAAGACTGTTCAGTAAATCATGCTGGGACAGTTGGTTATCCACATGGAAAAAAATGAATTTGAATCCCTATCTCATATACACAAATAATTGAATTTCAGGTAAATGAAACACTGGCATGTAAAAGGGCAAGCTTTAAAATTTTCAGAAGATGTAAAAGGGTATCTATGTGACCTTGGAACCGTGAAAAGTTTTATTAAATAAGACACACAGAAAAAAACTAAATATTAAAGAAAATTTTAACTACATTGTAATTAAGAACTTGTTAAAGAATCCATAAAGTGAAAATTTGAAAAAAATGAAAAGGTGCAATCTCCTAGAAGATATTTGTAATACAAATACCCAACAAACAGTTAATAACTAAACTATCTAACAAACTATAAATCAATAAGAAAAGGACAAATAATTCAATAGAAAAATACTCACAATACCATAAACAGACATTTTTCACAGAAAGGGAAAACCATGGCTAACCAACATAAAATCTAACCCTATTAGTAGTAATCTAAGATATGCAAATCATTATCCCAGTGAAATACCTTATGCTCAGTAGATTGGCAAAAGTGACAGTTCTGAGTAATACGATATATATCAATGGGAACTCATTATGTATTGCTGAGCTAATGTAAATTGGCATCACATTGGAAGGCAACGTGGTACTAGCTGCTGATTAATATATACCTGCCTACACCCCAGCGGTTCATTCGTTAGAGCAGCAGTTCTCAAAGTGTGATCTGCAGACTGTTTCAGAGGATCTGGGAAGTAAAGATTAAGGTGTTATTTGCCAGCTCAGAATAGATTAAACACTTAATTGTAAGACCCAAAACTGTTAAATCTCCTAGAAGAAAACACAGGAAAAAAGATCTTGGTCTTGACAATGATTTTTTTCAGATATGACACCAAAAGCACAAGCACCAAAAGCAAAAATGAGCAAGTGGGACCACATCAAACTAGAAAGCTTGAACTAGAGAACTTAAAAACTTCTGCCCAACAAAAGAAATAGTCAACAAAATGAAAAGGCAGCCTATGGGAGAAAATGGGGAAAAGCCTACTGCTAGATTCAGGCATAGTAAAATCAGTTCTTACATTTGGTGGTGAGTTGACATGCTCATTGTATTATTTTGTTTGGTACCTTAACATTATGTTTCACCTTTATGTATCAAATATTATATAATAAAAATTTTAATTTCTTTAATTAAAATAAATGGTGGGCATACAGGTTATTAAAAAAGATTCATGGTATTCCAATGAATTGGGTTTACTGTACTATAATGTATTTCACCTGGCTGGGTTATATGTATTTGAATTTATTGGGTAAATCATTTTAACTGTTTTCTCTCTTGTCATGGAGGTGATCATAGCTTTTACTATATGCATGGCATTGCTCTAAGTAGTACTTTGTATGTATTAAGCTATTTAATCCTTCTAAAAACTCTGAGGTAGGAACTATTATGTCCCTGTTTTAAAGATGATATACTGAGGCATAGAGGTTAAAGCAGCTTGTTGAAGGTTGCACAGCTAACAAGTAGAAGATCCGAAATTTGAACCCACACAATCTGCCTGTAGGGCCCACACCTTTTAACTACTGTGCTTTAACTACTGCTGTAATAGTGCTTATTTAATAAACTTATCTATGATTAAAGGAGACTGTGTGTTGGGGTGGTGGTGCTGGAAATGTCAGGTGCAGTTATTGAGACTATTGGGCCTCCTTGGGAAGCTGTGGGTCCCCCTCTGTGGGGGAGGCTGGGTAGGGACAGAAGCCTGTGAGAAGGAAATGCTGTCCTCCTAGGAGCCTTTGCCAATGTGTTTGTATCTTCCCTTCTTCTAGAGACCATGGCGAGCCCAGGGAAAGACAATTATCGAATGAAGAGCTATAAGAACAATGCCCTAAACCCTGAAGAAATGAGGCGAAGAAGAGAGGAAGAGGGCATTCAGCTCCGGAAACAGAAACGGGAGCAACAAGTGGGTTACCCCAAGTGTTCTCAAACATGCCCTTCGGGGAAGCGGTCCAGCCACCATGGTTGGCCTCCACCTTGTGCTCTCACTTTCTCCTTGGGCAAGTAGCTTAGCTTTGTGGGTCGCTCATCCAATTTCCTTTGTTATAAAGAAATGTTGGAAACCTTGAGAAGGAACTGTTCCTTATTCCTTTTCCATAATGTAGAACAACTTGGACATCAGTTATGTCTTCAGTACATCATTCTAGTGCTAGCCTCTTGTTGCCTTCTCTTCTTTACACAATAGTCAGTGTTAGATCTGGCCTTGGAGGCCCAGCCCTAAGCCTGATCCTTGAAGAAGTTTGTCAGCCTTTCTGGGCTGCCTTACTCCTATTTCTTGAGTCCATTCTTGAGTAAGTCTCCCTAGAACTGAGACTATTAATGCCTCATCATCTGTGCTCTGCCACACACCACACACCACTACCAGATTGGTGCCTTGCCCACCCAGGTCTAGGTGCTAACCTACTTTTGCCCACCTTCTTGCTTTACCATTATTCCCTTCTCTCAAACCCTTTTATATGCATCACCTTTTATCCAAAGGACACAAATTTTAAAAGATTTTTTTTTGTTTATAGAAATGTTCTCCAAAAATGTGAACAATTAGATATAACATA